GACACGAGCCCGCCATTGGTCGACAGTGGAGGCCAAAGCCAACTAACGGTCAATGGGCGGGCGGACGCCCATGCGTCGGGCACGGCTAAAACACGAGGCTGGTGATGATGGGCATTAATTTGACGCCGGCGGAACAGTAAACGCTACACTCTGACTATGAAAACGAGAATGTTTTAGAAATTTCAGTATGAATGCAATTTGGTCCAAGCACTTGTCCCCTCTTCTTCTTCCAGGGATAATAAACGCGAAAAGAATGCTTAATACACCATAAAGAAATGGATACTAAGATAGCTGCAAATGCGAGTCAAACAAACCAAGACACCGATAAGCACATATTCGTGGTTAGCACTACCGCGTGTAACAAAAAGTATTGGCATAGTAAGCAACTACTAAACCCAGGTGAGATTAAACATAATTGCATATCTGAGTCCCCTTAGAGAAGTGTTCGCAAAGTTTCCTTCGCATTAGAACAAATAAAACGGTCTTATTAAACGTACTGTTATCTCTTACTTTAACGCGTTCCTATAGGGTCTTAAAATAATCGGTCATGTCTGAGTCGAGGTAAACAGACAGGGCTGGTGAACTTTTCATGCGTAAACTAATTGCCCGACCTAAAGTGATTGTTACTTGTGGCGTAAAATTGGACTACGAGTGAACAGTGGACGATCTGGCGATGGGAGGTTGAATTGGCCTTGTGAACTACCTGCCACCCGCTGTAAGTCGTTGGTAGATCAAAAGATCTGGGCTAGTTGTATGAACAGGAATAAACGGAGCATGCAATCAGAAATCGTGTGGCACGCATAAATAGGTTGTCATGTCGAGATAGCTACGGCGTTCACCAAAAGATCGCCTCGCAATAAGGCCATGGTGACACAGGGAGAGTTGAGTGAGGTACAAAAAGCTATTTCACAATAAAAGAAATCGAAAACAAATCAAAATATTGACCAATTTGTGACTGTGGTAACTTATGATGACCAAACCAGTCTATACCTTCGACATACAGATTTCTGTTGGCTGTTCAGAAACAGCATAAGGCATCCCTAGACAGGACATTAGTCCCAAACTCCAGTTCTAACAGTAATGAAAAGTATAACTGGACTTAGGACAGTGTATCAGCGCGTATGTGATCGAGAAACGCAGTAAGTTGTGTAGGTTAAAAAAAGAATAAATACTTTGAATGTCGTTATCCGTAGGATAAAGATACATTAAGGGGAGAATGCAAGGTGAGGAGAGCATAAAGTTTGGGACCAATTGCTGGTTTAAACTATTGAAACATCACATTTGCCAGTAAAGACATCAAACGACAAAATGGGCCATACCGATCCTGGGGTTTCGCCGGGCCTTGTAATGTCATCTTCGGGTAGAGATTGTCCAGATTTTGCGGAAGACAATACAACGTAATCAGTATCAGGTTCATCTTCATCTAAAAAGTTGAAAATTTATTGCTTGAGTACCATCAGGTTTGGAAGACTTGTCATTATCCTTCGACGACTTTTTCTTCTTCTTAAAAAAACGAAGGCGCGAGAATGGGGACCAGGTGAAGAAGGCACCCTTTTCTTTGGCAGTACCTTCGAAAGGTGCCTTCAAATTAGTAGGAGTGCTGGCATTGTCTACCGTTTCGGCATTGATCTCCGATGAAGTTCGGTCGGAAGTTCCGTCTTTTGAAGACAGGGAATTGGATTCGTTTGTACATTGGGGGCGTTGGACTTGAGGGGAGTAATGACTGCGCTTTCGCCAGCAGCCACAAAGTTCTACCCTGTTAAATCTACGGTGACCTTCAGAGCGTCTTCCAATTTCACTGATTTTAGAATTATGTTTACAAGAAGATGGGGAGACAGACGACTCAGTTCCATTCTTGTCAATGTCAACGAGAAACTCAGAGGTTTCAGCTGCATTTTTTAGGCCACAAGGTAAGTCAGAAGACACTCCATTGTCATGCGTAACTGGTATTACAGATGATACTCCGATAATATTAGTTGTAGTCATCAGCTGGCGATTTGCGGTAACATTAAAATCCGATTAAGAAGGTGCGGATACATATCCAAAAGTTACGAGGCCTAGACATGTTAAGCGAACTGATACAAAGACACAGCAGGCACACATCAGCCTTAAGGTACGCCGGATTTTTTCAAAAACATTACAAAGCCGCTTTCAAGGGCACAAATTTCAGAAGTACATCTAAGGTATAAATAACAAAAATGTGGCCATTAAAGGATTGGTTATTCGTAGCACAATAACTATGCTGTGTTAATCTTGCAAATTCAATTTTGTCCATTCTAAATCTCAAAGGCTTGACGTTAATTCACGTCCTCAATTTCAATTTCAATATATTTAAGACAAGAGGCCCAAGGCCCGGAGG